ATCTGGTTGTTTAATCCAGGCTTAATTTTTTACAAAAGGATATAAGACGATAAGTAATAGGAGCAGGAGTAGGTTATTTGGCCCCTTGAGACTGCTTTGCTCTCCAATAAGATCTGGCCCTGACTTCGCTTTCCTTTCTGCCTCCAATAACCCTTGACTCTCTTGTAGATCAAAAGTCTTTCTATCTCAGCTTTGAATATATTCAATGGCACAGCCTCCACTGCTGTCTGCAGTAGAGAATTCCAAAAGCTAATAACATTCCAAAAGCTAATATATGGAAATTACCCCATTTATTTGTCTTAAATGTGTGACCCCTTATTTTGAAGCCATGCTCCTAGTTCTAGATTCCCCCACAGTGCAAATGTCCTCCCAGCATTTCTAATCCAAATGGTTCATATAATCAGTTTTGCTGGACTTCCTGATACTTCATTGTCCAGGGATTACAAAAACCAAACTCAATGGTCGTCCAGCACATTTAATTACAGCAAAGCAGTCAGAGATTGCTGACCGTGCTACTGTTGCATAAAATGGGGTGTACAGGAGAATGGAGTCAGCAATGTCGAGGCTTGGGATGGGATGGATGGTAAGAGCAAATTGTGAAAATAGATATGGCAAGGCCATAAAGTGTTTAATCATAGAATCCCTACAGTGTGGAAACAGGCCCGTCGGCCCAACAAGTTCACACTGACCCTCAGACCCATCCACCTAATCTATACATCCCTGAACACTATGGACAATTTAGTATGACCAATCCAAATAGCTTGCACATCTTTGGACTGTGGGAGGAAACCGAAGCATCTGGAGGAAAGCCATGCAGACGCAGGGAGAATATACAAACTCTACACAGACAGTTAACCGAGGGTGGAATTGAACCTGGGTCCCTGGTGCTGTGAGGCAGCAGTGCTAACTACTGAGCCACCATGCTGCCCGGCATATAGTTGAAGATGAAGGTTTAAAAGTTTATTCTATTTTTATACACAAAGCAGATTATCACAATTTATTCTGATGCCTGTGAAGAATTAGGAGAGTGACTTAACCAAAATCAGAGAATCCTCTCAGCTTGGATAATTGGATAAGTATTGGGACAGAATTCAAAGCAGACCGGTACATTTCCTTGACAGCTTGGAGAAACAAACTTAAACATTTCTTCTTTATTCAATTTTTTCACAAACTATAATACGTAAAGATAAGTAGCTTATCTGTTGTCGTGCCTTGGTTGAGTCATATGTTCCTTCAGCTCAATACTGTAGAGGTGGATATATAGAAGATTGGCTTTGGAGCTGATAAATCATTTCAAATATAATTTGGGGTAAACTGAGTGCTAATGCTCTTAATGATCTATTTCAGCTTGGGAGAGTGGTTGAGGGGGACGAGATGGAGTCAATAATAATTAAAAAGAGCTTATACCAGCCTCTGAGATTATTGGGTGATATAAAGCATATGTAGATAATTAGAGATGTCAAATGACTTGGCTCAGCTGAGAAAATGTCTGGGAAGGGAGATGGAAAGAACAGAATGGAATAGAATGGAATAGAGTAGAATTCCTAGTGGGAGAGAAAATACAAACTTCAGTCTTCCTGATGTTGAGCAGAATGAATTTGTGGCTAATCCAAGACTTGAAATTAGACAAACAGTCTAACAATATGGTGATAATCGGTTGGGTAAAGTGGAACTGATTATCATGAGCATGGATAAGAAAGCTGGCCCCACGTTCAAGAACAATGTTATCAAAAGGCATTGTGAAAATTAGGTAGAAATGAGAGTTCAGTATAGATCCTTGGGAGACTCCAAACATGATGGTGCAGTGGAACAGAAGCCATTGCTGAGATGTACTGTCTGCTTTCAGAAAAGCAGGAATAAAATTACAGAGGAAAGCCTGAAACGATGATTTCAAACAGGGTAGTCAATGTCATGATGCGACTACTGAAAATTGCAGTCAATTAGCTAACTTTTTTTTATGAGAAATGATGTTGCCTTACTGAAATTAGAGAAGCAGCAGCAGTGAGTCTGAAACATGAACTGTGACAAGAAAGTGCAACCAGACACCAGGATATTTAAAGGCCTGACAGGGTCCTCCATGCTGTTCAAGGAAAGGGGACTTTGTGAAGCCAAGTTAATGGGGAAATCTCTGACTTTTAAAGTATGTTTTGTGATCATTTTACTTTTGGAGGTGTAGAGTGGATGAGAAAAGATCTGCAATTTGTCGCTCTATTGATAAGGAAGTTTCTTAGTAAATGTTACATAGGGGAGACATTGAATTGGAAGCAATAAGTTTCAAAAGACTATTTCTGAGTTTCAATGCAAAAATAGAAAAGAAAAACACAAAGGTTTAAAAAACTTGTCTGGCAAGGATAAAGAAAATTGACCCATTACATTACCTTTGTAATGACGTAATTTGATAGATTTGACGTAAATGTCAGGTTAAATGTACATTGCAGACACAGATGATATTATTAAAAGCATAGGAATTGCTGGATGAGGAAGTCACGTGATGCAACAATACCTTTTACTGTTTTAATATTTTATTAATAAAATTTATTCAATTTGCCCTCTTTACAGCATTGTTCTTTTTCTGTTGAAAGTGGTGTTCATTTAGGTACAGTATAATCTTTGCCAAGTATACTTATATGTTTAAAACCAGCTTCTACACCAGAACAGTATAGTAAATGTAAAATGTAGTTTTTGTTGTAATTACAGTGCAGATCTGAAAGGGGAAGAAGATTGTCTCGTAAAATTCATTGATTATTTAATGTATATTACAAAGTAAGCAGATTGTCAAATGCTGTGATACATTTTTCCCATACAATGTTTTTTCAAAGTAAACTAAAACCAGGAGTCCAAGGTAGTTTATAGAGCTGGATGAGAAATTAGTTCAAGCTAGGAATATTAGTGAGGAGGTATTTTACAGTATTGAATTGATGGGCCAAAGGGCCACAGCTGTACTGTATGATTCTATGCTTCTAGGACACTGATGATCTAGAATTTGATGTTGGCTGGAAGTTATGATCAGTAGTTAGAAATTTGTTATTTATTTTCTGCAATTCTTTTGTTAAAGGCACCAACATAGAGTGTTCAATACTCAGCAAAAAAGGAGGCAGACAACAATGGTAATTTAACAAAGTACAGTTGGAATTTTTCATCTACTAGTATAACGTTAGTACAAGATCAGTGGAATCTCCAGGGAAATAGCATTAGCAGCTAAAAATTGCCACTTCACCAGAGACTCAGGTAAACCTCTGGTAAACATGGTGGGAAATCAGGAGAATCCAACAGAAATTCAGTTATGTAAAATAGGTCAAAAACAATTTTCAAAAATACATACGTTATGGATTGGATAACGGAATTTTGGAAAACAATTTGAGAATGCTTACATTATCAATGCCTGATCAGCATGTGACTTAAACTTAAAACACAAATAGGGAACTGGGAATGACAACTGGAATGCTGCTACACTTTGGAGGTGGATCTAAGGTTGTGAAATCCACTGTCAGATGACATTTGAGGCAATGCTTTTAACTGTAGTCACCGACCAAATAAAGATTTGAATGCCAATCATGATGCAGTACAGTAACAAATTTAATTGTAAAGAAAATGACCAGGAAGATCAAGTTATTGAAGCCTATTCTATAAAGTTCAGAAGGAAAATTGTTACGAGAGGACCATCCTGCTGTATACAAAATATTAAATGGAATAGATAGGTGCAGAAACTTACTTCAAATTATTAAAAAAAACCCTCAATCAATTTAACTTAATGCAAAATAAAGAAGAAAATCATTAAGGTAAAAATATTTTAAGAGTGACAAATACTTGGAACTATCCACTGGTTTGTTTAGTACAGGCAAATATTTGTGACAATCGTGATTTACAAATTTTGTCAACATGAGCTACATGATGCTATGTGATAGATAGTAACTTCCAGTGGCAAAACTGTAAAATATTTTTCATTGGCTATGAAGCACTTTGGTATGAGATGGAAGTTATTGAAGTATTAATAATCTGCTTCACCACTTATTTTGACAACATTGGCATAAGTTACATTTGACATGTTGAATCATTAGCTTCATGGGCTGCTTTTAGTCTTCAGCGTCCAGCAAAAAGGAGTATTCATCTATAGGACTTATCTGATTGCCAATCCATAGATTTTAATACAATGAATTCACACAGGTTCTGTAGCAGACAGGCAAACAATTCCATTAGATTTTATTTAGGACAAAAACTGAACACTATGTTGTTTTGAAGGTTTGCATTAAACAATAAAAAGAAGTCAATATTCACTCTGAAGAAGAGTCAATTCTGAAAAAGGGTCATTGGACCTGAAATGTTGGCTCTGCTTTGACTCCATAGATGCTGCCAGACCTGCTGCATTTCTCCAGCAATTTCTGTTTTTCTTTCAAATCTCCAGAATCTGCAGTTCTTTATTTCATATTGGTTTCAAATCAGTAGCTGCTCCTGTTGTTCAGCTAAGCCCCTCAATTTCATAATTGAAAACTTTTAAGAATCTGCTGTGGGAACAGGAAACCTGTGGGAATTGTTTGCCTGTCTGCTACAGAACCTGTGTGAATTCATTGTATTAAAATCTATGGATTGGCAATCAGATAAGTCCTATAGATGAATACTCCTTTTTGCTGGACGCTGAAGACTAAAAGCAGCCCATGAAGCTAATGATTCAACATGTCAAATGTACTGGTTTAGAAAGCTATTTGAGGGAACTGTTATGATGGACTTAGTTGATTTGAAGCAGTTTTCACTTTGCTCAATACTAAACTTGAAATGTACATTACACACTAATTGTCACTTGGGCTAGGATTGAAACATTAAAATAAGCATAAACTCAGCAATCTTTTTTCAGAACTTAACTGCAGCGGGAGGGAAATACCCATAATAGCACTGTTAATAAGAGATGAGATGAAGATGTTTGTGAGGGATGGTCTAGGCTCAGATGAATGTAGGCTCTGTTTGGGTGGAGGTGAAAAACAGCAAGGGGAAGAAGATATTGGTAGGAGTCATGCACAGACCCCCAAACAGTTGCTACTCTGTAGGAAAGGCTATAAATCAACAAATAATAGGAGCATTTAAAAAGAATAGAGCAATAATTATGGTAGAATTTAATCTTCATGTTGATTACATTAATCAAGTTGGAAAGGGTAGCTATGACAATGAAATCATAGACTGTATTAAGGATAGTTTCCTTGAGTAATATGACATGGAGCCAACCAGGGAACCAGTTATCTTGGATCGCATAATGGGTAATGAGGTTGGTTTGACAAATGATCTCAGAGTAAAAGATTCCTAGGAAGTTATGACCATAACATGATAGAATTTAATATTCAGTTTGAGATTGAGCAACTTGTGTCAGAAACAACTGTAGACATAGAGGAAGCTGGAAGAACATAGCAGGCCAGCAGCATCTGGAGGAAACGAGCAGTCAACATTTCAGGTATTATCCTTCTTCAGGACTGTTTGTCTATCTTGGATTCCAGCATTTGTAGTTTTTTTCGTCTCTCTCAGAAACAGCTGGGTTCAACTTAAATAAAGGGAAATACAATGAAAAGAGGATAGAGTTAACTGAAGTGGATTGGGCAGATAGATTCACAGGAAAGCCAGTAAGCAATCAGTGGCAGCCATTAAAAATTAGGTAATTCATGACTCAGCAAAAATAAATTGCAGTAAGAAGGAAAGATTCTATAAGAGGGATATACCAACTATGGCTAACCAAGGAAGGTATGGGAAGGATTAAGTTGAAAGAAAAATCTTACAAGGAAACAGAAGTTAATGATAGCACCGAAGACAGAGATACATTTGGAGTCCAGCAAAGTAGAAAAAAAATAAAGAAAGAGAAGATAAACAATGAGGTCAAACTAGTGATGGGTATAAAAACTGACAATAAGAGCTTCTTTAAAAATATAAAAAGGAAGAGAGTGGTCAAAGTCAACATGGGCCCATCAAAAAATGTACCTGTGAGATAGTAGTGAAAAACAAGGAAACGGCAGAGGAGTTAAACAGATATTTTGCATCAGCCTTTACAGTGAAGATGCTTTGAACAGCCCCTTAATACTGAAGAATATTGGGGAGGAAGTAAGTCCTGTCACCATCACTAGAGAATTAGTATTAGACAAACTACTTGGGCTAAAGGCAGACAAATCCCCTGGCCCTGATGGTTTACATCCTAGAGTCCAAAAAGAATTAAGTTCAGAGATAATGGAGACATTCATTGTAATTTCCCAAAAATCCTTGGATTTTGAAAAAGTACCAGAGGATTGGAAAACTGCCAATCTGACACGCCTATTGGAAAAGGGACGGAAGCAAAAAGTGGGGAACTATAGGCCGTTTAGCCTAACATCTATTGTTGGACAAAATATTGGAATCCATTATCAAAGAAGTAGTAGCAGCACATTTAGAAAATCATGATCGAATCACACATAATCAGCATGGTTTCATGAAAGGGAAATTGTATCTGATTAATGTATTGGAGCCTTTTGAGGAAGTCTCAACCGACCTGGATAGATGGAAACCAGTAGATGCATTTGGACTTCCAAAAGGTGTTCAGCCTCACAAAAGGCTAAGTCAAAAGATAAGAGCCAACAGTGTTGGTGGTAGTGTATTGACGTGGATAGAGAACGAGCTCGTCGGCTGGAAACAGCCAATGGAAATAAAGCATTCTTTTCCAGGTTGGTGACCTCTGACCAGTGGTGGTCCATGGGAACCAGTGCTGGAGGAAAGAAGTGAATGCACTGTAACCAACTTTGCAGAAAAATAACTGGAAAAGCAAATTGCGAGAGGGACAAAACAGTTTACAGAGAGATATTGACAGGTTAAGTAAATCAGCAAAAAGTTGACAGATGGAGTATAATGTGGGGAAATGTGAACTTGTTCATTTTGGAAGGGAGAACAAAGGAACAAAGTATTATTTAATTGGAGATAAACCACAGAAAGCTTCAACACAAAGGAACTTGGAGGTACTTGTGCATAAAACACAGAAAGCTAACACACAGGGGCAGCAGGTAATCAGAGAGCTGATGGAATGTTTGAGCAAATTACTGCTGATGCTGGAATCTGTACTGAAAACAAAAAATAATGGAAATCACAGCAGGTTAGGAAGATAGAGAGCCATCTAGACTCAAAATGTTAGCTTGCTTTCTCTCCATGGATGCTGCCTGACCCACTGTGATTTCCAGCATTTTTTGTTTTCAGTAATGGAATGTTGGCCCTTATTTCAACTGGTTACAAAAGTTGGATGTTTACTCATTGGAATTTAGAAGAATGAGAGGTAATTTCTTTGAAACATATAGGATTCTTAAAGGGCTTGAAAGGGCAAATGCTGAGACGATGATTGCGCTCATGGGAGATTCTATTCCAAAGAGCATAGTCTCAGAATGAGGTGGCACCAATTTAAGACTGGGCTGAGGAGGAATTTGTTTTTCATGGGAGTTGGGTGTTGCTGGCTGGCCAGCATTTATTGGCTGTCCCTGCTTGTCCTTGAGAAGGTGGTGGTGAGCTGCCTTCTTGAACCACTGCAGTCCCTATGCTGTAGGTTGACTCTCACTGCCCTTAGGGAGGGAATGCCAGGATTTAGACCCAATGACAGTGAAGGAACGGCGATATATTTCCATGTCAGGATGTTGAGTGGCTTGGAGGGGAACTGGCAGGTGGTAGTGTTCCATGTGTGTTGGTCTTGTCCTTCGAGACGGAAATGATCAAGGGCTTGGAAGGTGCTGTCTGAGGATCTTTGGTGAATTTCTGCAGTGCATCTTGTAGATAATACACGCTGCAGCTACTGAGCATTGGAGATGGAGGGAGTGGATGCTTGTGGAGGCAGTGCCAATTAAGCGGGTTGCTTTGTCCTGGATGGTGTCAAGCATCTTGAGTGTTACAGCTACACACTTCCAGGCAAGTAGGGAGTATTCCATCATGCTCCTGACTTGTGCCTCATTGATGGAGGACAGGCTTTGGGGAGTAAGGAGGTGAGTTACTTGCTGCAGTATTCCAAGCTTCTGAGTCGCTCTTGTAGCCACTATATTTATATGGCGAGTCCAGTTGAGTTTCTGATTAATGGTACTACCTAGGATGTTGATAGTGGGGGATTCAGTGATGGTAACACCATTGAACATCAAGGGGCGGTGGGTAGATTGTCTCTCATTAGAGATGGTGATTGCCTGTCACTTGTGTGGCACGAATGTTCCTTGCCACTTGTCAGGCCAAGCCTGGATATTGTCCAGATCTTGTTGCATTTGAACATGGACTGCCTTAATATCTGAGGAGTCATGAATAGTGCTGAACATTGTGCAACCATTGGTGAACGTCCCCACTTCTGACCTTTTGATGGAGGGAGGGTCATTGATGAAGCAGCTGAAGATGATTGGGCCTAGGTCACTACCCTGAGGAACTCCTGCAGAGATGTCCTGGAGCTGAGATGATTGACCTCCCACAATCACGACCATCTTCCTATGTGTCAGGTATGACTCTAACCACTGGAGCGTTTGCCCCCTGATACCCATTGATTCCAGTTTTGCTAGGGCTCCTTGATGCCACACTCGGTCAAATGCAGCCTTGATATCAAGGGCTGTCACTCTCATATCACTCTGGGATTCAGCTCTTTTGTTCGTGTTTGAACCAAGGCTGTAATGAGGTCAGGAGCTGAGTGGCCCTGGCGGAACTGAGCAGGTTATTGCTGGGCAGGTGCTGCTTGATAGCGCTGTTAGTGACACCTTCCATCGCTTTACTGATGATCGAGAGGAGACTGATGGGGCGGTGATTGGCCGGGTTGGATTTGTCCTGCTTTTTGTGTATAGGATAAACCTTGGCAATTCTCCACATTGTTGGTTAGATGTCAGTGTTGTAACTGGCCAGGAACAGCTTGGCCAGAAGAGTGTTAAGCCCTGTAGCACAAGTCTTCAGTACTATTGCCGGAATGTTGTCAGGGCCGGTAGCCTTTGCAGCATCCAGTGTCTCCAACCGTTTCTTGATATCACGTGGAGTGAAACGATTTGGCTGAAGACTGGTTTCTGTAATGCTGGGGACCACTGGAGGAGGCCGAGATGGATCATCCACTCGGCACTTATGGCTGAAGGTTGCTGTAAAAGCCATATCTTTTGCACCGATGTGCTGGGCTCTTCCATCACTGAGGATGGGGATATTTGTGGAGCCTCCTCCTCCAGTGAATTGTTTAATTGTCCACCACCATTCACGACTGGATGTGGCAGGACTGCAGAGCTTAGATCTGATCCGTTGGTTGTGGGATCGCTTACCTCTGTCTATCACTTGCTGCTTTCACTGTTTGGCATGCAAGTAGTCCTGTTTGGTGGCTTCACCAGGTTGACACCTCATCTTCAGGTATGCCTGGTGCTGCTCCTGGCTTGCCCTCCTGCACTCTCCATTGAACGAGTGTTGATCCCCTGGCTTGATGGTAATGGTTGAATGGTGAATATGCTGGACCATGAGGTTACAGATTGTGCTGGAGTACAATTCTGCTGCTGTTGATGGCCCACAGCGCCTCATGGATGCCCATTCTTGAGTTGCTACAACCTGTTCGAAGTCTGTCCCATTTAACACGGTGATAGTTCCACACAATATGATGGAGGTTCTTCTCAATGTGTAGGTGGGATTTTATCTCCACAAGAACTGTGCAGTGGTCACTCTTACCAATTCTGTCATGGACAGATGCATCTGCAGCCAGCAGATTGTTAAGAATGTTTTTCTCTCTTGTTGGTTCCCTCACCCACCTGTCTAGTAGCTATGTCCTTTAGCACCTGACCTACTCGATCATCAGTCCTGTTGCTGAGCCACTCCTGGTGGTGGACATTGAAATCGCCCTCCCACAGTGCATCCGTTGCCATCTACAGTGCTTCCTCTAACTATTGTTCAACATTGTGGAGTAGTGATTCATCAACCACAGGAGGATGGTATGTGGTAATCAGCAGGAGGTTTCCTTGCTTTCCTTGTTTAACCTAAAGCCATGAGACTTCATGGGGTCCAGAGTCAATGTTGAAGACTCCCAGAGCAACTCCCTCCTGACTATTCCACTCTGCCACCACCTCTGCTGTGTCTATCCTGCCAGTGAGACAGGATATATCTGGGGATGATGATGGTGGTGTCAAAACTGTCTGTAAGGTGTACTTCTGTAAGTATGACTAGGTCAGGCTGATGCTTGGCTAGTCTGTGAGGCAACTCTCCCAAATTTGGCACTCACCCCCAGATGTTAATAAGGAGGACTTTGCATGGTCAACAGGGCTGTTTCTGCTGTGGTCTTTTTTGGCGCTGGGTTGTCCAGTTTCCTTTCTTTCTTGAGACTTTGTAGTGATTGGTACAACTGAGAGGCTTCTAGGCCATTTCATGAGGGCTATTGAGAGTCAACCACATTGGTGTGGGTTTGGACCATAGGCCAGACCAGCTGAGGATGGCATTTTCCTCCCCTGCAGGACATTAGCGAACCAAATGGGTTTTTCCGACAATTGACAATGGTTTCATGGTGCAGATATTTTTTATTGAATGCAAATTCCAACAATTGCCATGGATTTGAACCCAGGTCCCCAGAACATTAGAGACAACAAGGTGCAGGGCTGGATGAACACAGCAGGCCAAGCAGGTTCATAGGAGCAGAGAGGCTGATGTTTCGGGCCTAGACCCTTCATCAGAAAAGGAGTCGCAGAGAGAAATGCTTCTGAAGGATCTCAATGCCATGAGTGTAGATATTGTCACGGTTGGGGCCAAATTGGGAAGGCTTGAATGTGGATTGTAGTCCATTGGGGATGATCTGGTTCCGTAGGCAGGTGCTAAGGAAGGTGATGTGGCTGTAGTACCTGGTTTGCTTCAGGACATGGTCGAGCAGTTTCAGGGCCGAAGAGATTACGAGAGAGTTGCAGTGGGAGAGAGATCCCTTGAGGTTTGTCCGGAGGGAGGAGGGTAACTTCTTCAGGCTAGGCATCCTTAGAAGAGGCTTCGCAGTGGGGTTAAAATTGAATCAGAGATAGTAGGAACTGCAGATGCTGGAGAATCCGAGACAACAAGGTGCAGGGCTGGATGAACACAGCAGGCCAAGCAGCATCATAGGAGCAGGAAGGCTGATGTTTCGGGCCTAGACCCTTCATCAGAACATTATCTGAGTTTCTGGATTAACAATCCAGCAACAGTACCACAAGGCTATTGCTTCCCTTCTCTTAGAGGGCTCTGAATCTTTGGAACTCCTTGCCACAGTCAGCTGTGCGGGCAGAGTCTGCATGTATATTTAAGGCTGAGATAGACAGATTATTGAACAGTGGGAGAAACAATGGTTATTGGGAAAGGTCAGGAAAGTGAATGAGAGGAGTACTTTATCAGCCATAATTCTATTGAATGGTGGAGCAAGCTCGAAGGATTGAATAACCTACTCTTGTTCCTATTTCTAATGGTCCTATGGTCTTAGGAACACTCCATTTGGCCAAAGGGGAATCTTTAAAACAATGAAATGAAATTTTCTGACTGTTGGTCCCCTGGCCCTGATTCTACTAACCAGTAGCTTTTGAATCACTTAGTATAAGGCTTTCAGCTCCAACCCTTGGATTTGAATATTGCCCATGAAGACAGTCATTTTTTTTTCCCGCAAGTTCTTTGCTCCTTAACGGCAACAGCCACAGAATAAAATGCCACAATTTGACAGCTTTTCAGAAGCCATGGGATAGCTGATGTGGAAAATGTCTGAAAGTGAATCAATGCTGAGACTTCTGAACAGAAATGAGGGAGCTTTACTGGATGCATTTTATCAATTCAAAATTACAGCATCTCAATTGAATCACTGACAGTTTTCAAATTTTCAAACAAAATAAGCACAAATTTCTCAACTATTCCTCATATCTTAAGTTCCAAAGACCATCTTTCATTGTCTCTGTATCCTTTCAAAGCAAATAATAGCTGTCCTGTAATTAAATAATTAGAATTAATATCAGTATTTCATCTGTACTAGAAAATTGCAAGTCCTTCAGATTTTTGCTCTGTCATTCCAAAGCTAAGCACTGCTTGTAGGATTTATAAATGAACTCTGTAACCACCGGGGCCCAGATAAACTGCAAAGATTTGGTCTAAGCAGATGTTAAAAAATAATTTAGCTGCTACAGACTTCTAATGCTACCTCTACCAAAATTAAAATGGTCAAGGATAGGGAGAGAGACTTTGTCTATTTCATGTGCGTCTGTGACCACCATTTCCACCAAATGGGCCTCCCACTGAAGACCCAAGAAATGTAGGCAAAAGATGACCAGACCAGGAGATGGACTAAGAATTAACTAAAAACAAATCAGGCTACACTCAACTATAAATTAGTCTCATGTACTTTGCTATTGACCAAATACAGCTGATGAAACTTTATTGATGCTAAGATGCGTCCCAACTGAGGACCAGAATACAGGAACTCTCATTAAGCAGTATCTTCCACAGCATCACACAATCCCTCCCACAACCCATCCCAATCCCAGACTCCTTTACATTGACAGCTTTGAAGGAAGCTTCACCTGATGAGAGAACCCTAGCTGTTAAGCTGTAAGACTGGTCTAAAGTCAGCAGGTTTCAGTTGGGTTTGAGAATGAATGGAGGACCCCTTCTGAATTTATAATGCATTTTTGCAGAACTGGTTGAGCAATTTGAAGGCCTAGACTACTTTAATGCATAGCAAACTCTATAGCTGGGTTCCCCTTAATGAAAATTTGGGGAATTAGAAAAGACACAAAAATTGAAGAAAGGAAGGTTTGCTTCCAACTTTGACAAACCCCTTGCCATGTCAACTCAACCAAGTCTGGTCGTAGACAGATAGAAATGTGATCTGATTGTTTTATATTGCATTTCAAAGCATAAATAAATGCAATAGTCCCATTATAAGTTCTTTACCTCATTGATTCAATGTTCCAAGTGATGCCTTAGACTAGTTTTGTCCAGCTAAGGGGATTGGTCTTTTTTTTCAACTTTCCTGCAGATGATACGGCCGATGGTGCACAGATGGGTATGTGAGTTGGTGAATATGAGATCAAAGTTTGGTACCACAAACATTGTGGTTCTGTGGTGTAGGCATGATGGACCAGCAGATGCTTCCTGTTCACAGATTTCATTTGTGTTCATGTTGCACTGCTGGAAGTTATGCATTTGTTTTGCTTGTTCAACATGTCAGGTCATGTTTCAAGAGGAGCAATAACAAATGCCATGGGATCTGAATAAATGCTGAGAATGAATCCACTTTTAGAATTTGATACTGCAGCAAAACTATGAATTACAATGTTTGCTTCCTTGCTGAACTCAGGGTTTGAGTAGCAGTAAACTGTTCATGGTCTTGTATAGTGTTACTTTAGCAGTTAGCACATTTCTGTTCATAATTTTAAAAATTTTCTGTTGCATAATATATACAAGTGTGTAATCTAAAAGAAAATGTTATTTTCTGCAACAAACAAAACCAAAGCTCATCTTGGTTAAAAGCTGAGAATGTGAAAAAAAGGGGCAGAGAACAACCTCATGGAGGGGAACAGGTGAAAGGTGTGTTCCTCCCTTTACTCCTCCTCCTTCCTGAGCCATGTTAACTGCCTGCTTTCTGTTAATGGCACAGGAGAAATCAATGCATATCATATGAGATAATCATCTCTGAACCATCCTTAAAATCACAAAAGTTTAGCCATTAATTGTACAATTGTCATCAAGAAATGATTACTAAATAGGTGAGCGTGCGTAAATTGATGGGATCGTGCGGGACAGTGATAGTACTACTTCTGAGCCAGAAGGTTGGGGTTCATTTTTTATCTGCCCCGTTGGTTTGTTATAACATGCCTGAACAAGTTGACTTTAAAAATAATTTCTTAATATATGAACAGACATATCAGTTGAAGACCTACAATCTCATATTCCGGCAAAACTAGTGTTTTGCTGATTTAAAAAGAACACTTCAGAGGACTAAAAACAACTACATATTTATTATTCCACATTCACAAACATTCATTGTCCACCACCGACACCCAGTGTTAGCAGTGTGTACTATCTACAGACAAACCGCCAAATTCATGAAGGTGCCTAACCTATGACCACTTCATTCTGGAAAGTCAAGGGCATCAGATACATGGGAGCATCACCTCCTTCAAGTTCCCTTCCAAGCTAGTTGCCATCCTGACTTGGAAAGATATCACCATTCCTTCACAGTCACTGGGTCAAAATCAAGGACAGAATTGTGGGTCTACCTACAGCACACAGACTGCAGTGGTTTAAGAAGGCAGCTTGCCTCCACCTTTTTAACTAGGGACCGGTAATAAATGCTGGTCCAGCCAGTGACATCTATGTTCCATTAATGAATGAATGAATGTTTTAGTACTGGACGGATTGCAGGCTTCATTATGAAATTTAGAACTCTGACAAAGTCCTTATGGTGTTTAACATCAGGTTCATTTTCTGTTTCTTTTTCCCTCAGATATAAGTGAGGAACATTTAGACAGCCAAGCTGGAGAGGAAACTGTGGAAACGTATAGCGACAAAGAATCAAGACAAACAAATTCTCCAGATCTGGTCAAAGGCAAGAACAGCTACACAACCGAAAGCCCTGACATGGCAATGACTGATGAAGAGCGATTTCCAATTGAGAAGAATGTCAACAGCTTGGAAACCTTACCAGAAAGCTCCAAATTTAGTTTGGACCAAAATCAACTTGTGATGGATGGACTATCTGGAACTCTGTCAATTCCTTTCTCTTTAAAAGGTAACAGACCTCCCATCGAAGTGCTGAAAAGAATATTTCCAAATCATAAAGCTACAGTCCTTGAGTTGATATTGAAAGGTTGTGGGGGTGACCTTGTTGGCGCCATTGAAATTCTTCTGTCAAGTCGCTCAGCATTAGCTTCAGATAGACCAGCAGAAGTCCCAGATGTCCTATCTGTATCTTCTAATGGACAGACATTTTTTGAACACGCTTTTGGTTCCTACCCTGTTGCCTCCTCTAAGTGGTCTGTTGGGTCAGCCTTCAGGGTCCCAGATTCATTGAGATTCTCCAGTGATCCTGGCAATGTCATGACAAGTCCACTGACCATGCCAATACAACACCCATTTCCTCAACCTCCTCGTTACCCACTGGTCCTGAGGAACAACTTGAGTAGAAACCAGGGAAGTCCATTTATATCAAATGATGTTGCTCTGTGGAACACCATGACACTCCAGCAGCAGTACCAGCTCAGATCGCAGTATCTCACCCCTTTTCCAAACACCTCAGCTGGCATCTTTCGCAGTTCCCCAGTCCTTTCCTCTCATCCTACAAATGATCCCAGGCTTTCACTTGCTGACGAGAGCTGTTCGATGGTGAACAAACAGCCTATATATACAGAAGAGGACTATGATGAAAGATCTGATTCTGCAGATTCTAGAACATTGAACTCTTCCTCTTAAATGATATGTAGTGGTTACTCACCAAATAGAATATGAAAAGGGAAATACTTGAATGTAGTAATAAGGACTCGGAGTAGATACATCATCCATTACGTACCATCCCTAACTGGGCATAGCCAAAGGGTTATAATACATAGTTATCCAATTTATATTGTCATGATTAGATGTGTTAGTTTAAGAATATGTATGCCTAGTAGCTATACTTCTTAATGCATGTAATATGCTATGATCATGATGACAAACAAGAAGAAACTAAGCACTTGAACAGCTATGTGTAGCACGCCCAATGTTAAAAGTGCAAATAAATGAAAGTGATATAACTTATTCAGTTGAACAAAATGTCATTCACACAAATTGTTTAATTAATTATATTTAGCACTGGTCAAGTGCACACATTAGGCAACTTACTAACTTTCACATAAAAAAGGGTAACGTCACCATACTCCTAGTGGACCATAGGGCTACTCTATCAATGGAGAGACAACTGGTGATGGTTTAACTTGCGAGGAGAAGTTGAGAAGGAGGGACCTTCATGGTAACCTCAGCTGGTGCAGGAATTGAACCCATGCTGTCGGTGTCACTCTGCACTACAAACCAGCTGACCAGCTAAGTGAACTAACCAAACCCCAATGACCTGTGTTAAGCTTTCACATAATCTTCATTTAGAATTAAGTAATGGGTATTTGAGATGTTTCACCTGTAAGGAAGTGGATGAACAAAACACTATGTTTGACTAATATCGCTCCTTAACATCCCTAAATACACTCTTCAAGATAAATAATGATGATAAAGATACATTGGATTGTATTGGATAATAATCTGTTGTACTTCCTGAGAAAAGAAACTGAGTGAGCTGTACTTTGTATGGAGGGGGAGGGGGAGGGGGTGGGGATTGCAGACTGCTCACCCCCAACTGCCTCAAAAAAGTCCATTAGCAGAAATAAGACATTGGGAATGGGCTATACGTGGTTCACGGTGGGACTTCTGCCTCTCAGTGGGAGAATGGCCCACTGTCAGATCACAGTTCTGATTGGATGGCTGTTTCAGTCGTTCTGTCAGTGCTGGGGCTCAGTGGGTGCTGTCAGGACTATAGGAATGAGCACTGAGGAGATTGATGGCTCCTGTGTGAAGGTGCCAGGGTTTAAGGATGGAGAGAGCTGAAGGTGAAGAGTAGGTGTGGGTGATTGGTTTTGGAAGGCAGGTGGTGCAGAAGGAAGTGAGGGTGCCATCCAGAAGATGTTGTCCTGATGGAATGAGATGCCCCCTTGCTTTCCACCTTCTTTCACCACGGCCACAAGAAAAGGCTGTCTACTCCCACTTGCCTGCCCATGCTAATTGTATCATGGCATATGCAACGTATTGTTTAGGACATCAGGCTTGTTATTGATGTAAATGTGGCAGGCAGGTTTCCAGTTTAAGTGCCCCCCCACCCTCGAAAACATTTGGGGTTGAGTCAGGGGCGGGTAGGTAGATGATAGCCTGACCATTTGACATATTTCACCAGAGCTCCTGCAGAAATGTGCCTGGTGAGTGGTTAGGGGATTATAAAATTTATTTCAGCATTTAAATCCAAATTGATTCAATGATTGTAAGTTAACAAGTATCTATCACTATTTAGACAGCTAAAAACATTGAAAAATGTGTCTCTACAGAAGTGGTTCAGGCAAATAGTAAAAAACACTTGCAAAATTAAACAACTATTTATACTAATTGAGCTGTCTGTTAGAACAGTTTGTTTTTAATAAACATCTTTTAAATTAAATAATATATTATACAATGGACTTGCAATAGGACATACAACATACATCAAACATGCAAGAATATAAATTACCAGGTGCACGGTTTAATGTGGTACAGCAGGGAATGAGGCACATTTACAGATAAAGTAAGGTAGGCGTCATCTGTATAATGTAAAAGGTGAAGGCAATAAGTGAACATCAAGCACCTGGAATGAACACCCAGCTAGTCAGGCAAGGTCAGTACAGGGTGAAACAAAGCTAATGAAGGTAATTTTGACCCTCAGAAATGTGTGGGTTTGATCGGGTGGAACGTACAAAATGTTACGAACTCATACCTGGGCGAATGTGGGCCTAGAATCCACCAACTTCTGGATTTAACTGAAGCTGTACTGGAGCCAACCAAACCGCCACACTCCTGGAAGGGTGGATTGCTTACTTGAATATTTTAATTCAACCTATGTGCCTCAGGTGTTTTGTCTGTCTCCCAGCTTTAATGACAGTTCACCAGGCTTCCCAGGTCTTGAGATGCCTGGCAGGTAAAACGGTGTGAGGACTGCTGCACAGAGGCAGAAGGTGCTTTTCCAGCATTGCCTGTGAGTAAGGAGGATTCTCCCTGAGTCATGAAGTAGACTGCAACCTTCCTTGTGATTGGAACTTGCCATTCCAAGAGATTGGAGCCCCCACAATTGGACTCCCTCCTACAATCTCCAAACCCTGCCATCATTAGACCTCCTTGTAGCTATTGAAACAACTCCTCCAAGTTTTACACCCCTATAGTGACCATTGATTCTGCCATCTATCTGGATGCGTCACAGCGCGGTATGGAAACTGCTCTTCCCAAGCCGCAAAAAACTACAGAGAGTTGAGACTACAGCACAGTCCATCATGTGAATCAACCTCCCATCCATTGACTTCATCTACACTTCCCACTGCCTTGGAAAAGCAACCAGCATTATCAAAGACCCCTCCCAATCTGGTTATGTTCTCTTCCACCCTCTTGAATCGGGCAGAAGATAGAAAAGTTTGAATACATGTACGAACAGACTCAAGAACAGCTTCTTCCCTGCTCTTACCAGACTTTTGAATGGTCCTCTCAAATGTTAATGTTGATCTCTCTCTGCACCTTCTTGCAAGCTGGAACACTGTATCCTGCACTCTGTTCTGTTACCCTGATGCACTTATATAGTACGATCTGCCCATACAGCGTGTAAAACAACACTTTTCACTGTACTTTGGTACACGTGACAGTAATAAATCAAATCAAATCAAAAATCAATATCTCTGCAATCATGCCTGGATATTCTACACCATGTGACATTCTCCTGCCATACACCATCTTGGGATCTCTATCCCAGCAGCATAAGCTGACCTGCTTATGGGTTGTATCCTCTTCTGCACTGATTCCCATTCCTCTGGGAACTCAATGTGTCAATCAAGCTGTCTTTCAACAAGGAATTTGTTGGAAGGAAAACACACAAAGTTGCGTGACAAGACTTCCTCATCCTTGCATGGAAATCTTGCTCCCCTTTCCATCCTAAAACATCCACAGAACTGTGAATGCTGGAAATCAGAAACACAAACAGAAATTGGAAAAACTCGGCAGGTCTGGCAGCACCCGTGGAGGAGGAAACAGAGTTAATGTTTTGGGTCCAGTCAATCTTCTTCAGAACATTGAACCCAATGAAGTCAAGGAATGATATTTCATCATGAAACACATGGAAGGTTTCTTTTCTGTAAGAGAAAGCCAGCAATAGATTAAATGTTGGAAATGTCCAATAATAACTCAACTAAGGCTGTTGAGGTACAATGTCAGGCAGTCCCAATAATTTGAAGTTATCTTACAAGAGAATTTGGGAGCTTCTAGTGTAAAGAATGGTGAAAGAGGAGGGATGTGTTTCACAATTACTACAGCAACAGGAACTGACAACTTAGCACTCGAGCCTGGTCTGTTGCTCAATGAGATCATCACTGAAATGTTAGCAAATTCCCATCAATACCTTTGATTCATAAAAATCTATTAGTTTCAGCTGTAAGGTTAACTAACAAATTGTCTTTTGAAGAAGAGAATTCCAAATATATTTTATCCTTTCCATGGGGAACTGTTTCTTAATTTCATTCCTGGTTCTAATTTTTAGATTATTCCCCCATTGTCCTAGACATCTCAGTAGAAATAGCTTGTCCCAGTCGACTCTATTTGTTCATCTATTGATACTTACTGAGATTTATTTTGTTTCTAATGATTTGGAGACTTAAGTACTGCAATGAAAAGAAACCATTTAGTTGAAAACCATCTTTCAAAGTCATGTCCAATGACAAATATAACTCAGGTGCAAAAGAAGCTTGCTGCAAATGATCTGTGACATGCCAAAGGAACAAAATCCAAACTACAAATCTTGGCACACAAGTTTGTTCATTAACTGCTTGCATTTACACAGCAGGTTTAAAATAGAGAACTATCCAAGCCACTTTTGAAAAAGACAGAACTAAACACACCGCAGGAAGTTAGGGAAGGGTTATGTGTGATTACTGATGGTCTAATGGTCTCTACTCAATGGAATATAGAGGGATGAGAGAGAATCTCATTGCAACTTATAGGATACTGAAAGGCCTGGATAGAGTGGACATGGAAAAGATTTTTCCACTGGTAGTAGAGACTAGGACACGAGGGCACAGCCTCAGAATGAAGTGACAAGCCTTTACAACCGAGATGAGAAGGAATTTCTTCAGCCAGAAGGTGGTTAATCTGTGGAATTCACTGCCACGGGGGCTCTGGAGGCCAATCATTGAGTGTATTTAAGACAGAAATGGGTAGGCTTTTGATCAGTAAGGAGGTCAAGTATTACGGTGAGAAGGCAGGAGAATGGGGTTGAGAAACATATCAGCCATGATTGAATGGGAGGGCAGACTTGATAGGCTGAATGGTTTAATTCTGCTCCTATATTTTATGCTCTTAAGGTCTTATGGTCTAAATGAACAGATGTGTTTAGGAGCACTGTGAAGAGATTGGGGCCTAGAAATAGGGGAATAATGGAAAGAATCACTGCGCCTGAGCTAGCTTTAGTTAGATTGTACAAATTAGGAGCAATAATTGACTCCTTGGCCCCTTGAGCCTGTTCTAACATTTAACAAGTTCATGAATGATCTGATTACTCCACATTCCCACTAACTCCAGGTTACTTTTCATCCTTTTTCTGTAAAGAATCGATTTGCTTCTACCTTAAAAATATTCAAAAACTCTGCTTCCCTCGCTCCTTGAGGAAA